AATACGGGTCCTCTCAACCCATTCCCCTCCTATTCTTAAAGTAACTACAGCTGTGGAGGTGCACTGTTTGATTTTCACGCACAAAAAGACTAGGACACAAAGTGCCCCCTAAAAATGTTCCACCATAAAAAAGGAAGCCTCGAAAAGCAAATATGTTTCCCCCCCTGCCACCAAAGGATTGTAGGAGACATAACCCAAAGAAGCATTGAAAGGCTTGAGAAGAAAGACTACAGCTAAGATGTTGGTTACAATTTCCAGGCATCTACCATTTTACCAGCTGTATTCCTCATGGGGAAAACACACAGACAAGCTTGGAAGTGGCCTTATTGGATTTTTTGTTTGGTGTTTGCTTCTTTCAAATCACTCTTGATACAAAAATAAATCTGTGGAAATTGAATTTGCATTCCCAATGAGTGTCTGGGAAATAATGTAGCTGTGTCCCTACATTGTGCTTCAACAGAGTGACCATAGAGACTACTTATTTCTCTGGGATGGTTTGTTGGATGCGTGCCCGGGTAACGGTCATTGCCCGCTGCTTTGGCATCGAGCTCTCGTGGGCAGCGCTACTAAAATGTGAGTCCATGGATCATAGTCAAAAAACAAGCCAACGGGGAATATCAAATTGCAGCATGGAATACAAACAGCTTTTATGATCTGTGTGAATACTATGTGTGGGTATCTTTGACCTTGAAGAGTCTTTATTTTTTGTGTTTTATGCCTCTAGTGTAAGATGTTTCCCTAAACCACAAAAATAACTTTTCCTACTAAGCTTTGCCACAATCTTAACTTCGTATGTGTCTTCAACAGCCATTCCTATTTCTCCCTGCTTTCATCCACCTACACTGCAACTTTGCACTCCTCTGATCTAACCAAGAACACAGAATGACGACGAGATGGATCTTTTTCTAACCTCCTGGTAGAGAGGGAAGCCAGCAAATGCCAGAGAGGTAAGACTTCCCTGCCCACTCAAGGTCTGGCAGCTCATTAGGGTTCTATTCTCAACCATGTGTGAGCAATTGCCTGCAGGTGACAGAGGCTTTCCACTTTTCAGAAATGTGCACAGAAAGAGAAACTCTACTCAGCCATTGTACACGCTAATAATACCTCGGTTACACGGATCTACATCGTGACCATTTTTGCATAAATGTACTCCACATTATACACAGTGAGCTCCCATCATCCCCCCCCCCCCCCTGCCTCTCAGCTTCACTTTTCCGACACACTTTTTCATTTATTTGTGGTGAGGTCGTTTGAATTTCTCTTATAATATTTATTTTCAAAAGTGTGATTCAGGTCATTGTTGCAGGTCATCTTGACTAAGCACAATGAAGTCGTATTCTTTTCATGCAGTCTATTATACAACTCAAAAAGCTCTAACCTTGTATTTAGCAGTTTAATCTGCAAAAGCTAACTTATAAATCTTTTGCTTTTTTTTGTAGCCGGTTTATCAAAAGTTTCTAGCCAAAAATACACTTTCAAATATTGATTATATTTAGTAATTGTTGATGTTTCTATCCCTCTATCCTCTCATTTCTGGCAAATCCTTCAAATATTCTTGTGATTAAAGTCTTACCTTTTATACTTCAGGCATTTCAGTCTGCCATTTTAGTTTAGACTGATACAACTTTTCATTACATTTTGTCACTAGATTTTACGGCTTCACAGTCATTAAAAGACATTTCCTATCTGCATTTGCACCAGCAATGCTTTTGTGAGTTGATTCCCAATTTAAAGACCTAATGTGCGCCAGATTTCCACTTATCATTGAGTGGATGTCGTTGGTCATCTTGCCTTAATGAGCTGCTCACCCTCAAACACTTTCATTAATGTGGTTTCGAGTGGAACGTTTTGTTGTCGGAAAATGATCAAAGGGCTTAGGCTTTTTTGTATTCCAAGAAAGCATTGATTCTCCAGGGAAATATTGTTTCCCTTGTCCTTATTTTTCAGAATAGAAAAGAGACTCAGCAGCGTAACGTGTCCTTGAGTATGATGTGGTAGAATCACAACAGCCTTCGTCACCCTCTGCTACTTTGAGGATGACTACATTTGGCCAAACAGCTCGTTCCAGTGAGTCTTTTCTTCTGCATCTTATTCACGTTCCTTCTTGGCAAGAATCCTCAGATTTCATACTGAATATCATCTACCTCAGACTAAACATATCCTCCATCAGAAGCCTGTTTCAGCTGAACCCCACTGTGTGCAGGGAGGGACAAGGCCAACAGATTCAATGTTGTTCCATTTTGCTACACTGGCAGCCAGTGTTTCAGTTGACTTGTTATGTTTCAAACAACAACTTGTCTGTCACAACAGAATCCATTTGATGCCCTCGAATTTGCCGAGCCAGACTGGCTAAACATGGCATTTAGCATGATTGACCATCATCCAATCAAACTTGAACTATTGACAAGCACACCTGCAGCTAATAAGATGGGGGCGAATATTATCTTTAATAATACACTCAGCTTTATTTTCTTTTAGAAAAACATTGAGTGTAGCAGGAAAGCTGAAAGGGGCAGAGTAGAAAAGACAAACAAAGGGAGATTGATTTTCATGTGAGGCCAGGGGGATGCATGTGGTTTACTGTAAGCAGCACTTCTTTACCTTCATCCCCTTCACAATGATCTCTTTGAGAGACGTCCAAGCCGTGTGCGGCGTCTGTCGATGCGGCGAAACGGAATGCATCATGCAATCATTGTATCCGTGTGGTGAAGCGAGGGGCCTGAGTCTTCTGGCAGGCAGACAGAAATACGTACGTGGTCGGAAAAGCAATTGACTTCAATCACTTCCACTTTCAGTTGTGTTATTATGATGGCGGATATGTGTGGGCCCCGTCACACGGAGAATTATCCCACTCAGCTGGAGACTCATACATACAGCTTGAATGCAGTTCCAGCAAACAGATCAAAACATCGCCGTACATGGGCTTTCCAGCACAACGAGATAAACGCGCGCCGTTCAGGAAGTTTGCTATTATCTTTATATATTTCCATTTTTCTCTCTGGCTCTGAACAGTATTGGCAGACGCAGCAAAAGCGCACTACATCTCTGTCTCACATACATGTGTGCTTTCATCCACGGACGAGGTTAACCGTTTCCTCATTCGGCACAATTAGTGGAAAAGTCAATACTACATAGACCCCTCTGAAAACTGTTTATGAGATTCCGTAATCCTTGGGTGAATTATTGACCTCTGCTTCAGCCACGCTCCTTTGTTTTCAACACACGGCACACATTCACACACCCAGGCCAACTCTTTGACACATCCCCTTGCACAGCAATATGATAATACATTGCATAATGCACACACACTGAAAACCCCACACAGGCCCACTTGCATGGACGTGCCGTGAGCTGCAGATATAGCGCAGGAGTGGCTGGTTCTGGGTCAGGCGAGGTGGCCTTAGCGGCCCCCCCATCAGCCGGGGTAGAGCCAGAAGCGGCAGCGTGATGGGAACTGGAACAAATGCGAAGGGAAAAGAGGCTCACGGTCCCGCGGTTCTGGCTCGAGCTGACTCAACATCGGCTTGACACATGGAGAAAGAAATGAGACACATGAAGGCTTTATGGGGAAACAAAGGGGGAGTGGAGAGGACAGGCGTAAGGGTGATTAGGGAGGGGGGACAATACATGTGGTGTACATGTGGTCAGCAAGGCAGAGGGCAGGCTGCCATGCTCCTTTAAAGCTTCGGGCAGATGCTCGCAGACAAAACACACACTCTACACATGGACTACACAGGAGTCCACCCTCGCGTTCATACAGTATGCTGGCGTGGTCGAACACACACTATGTGTCAAAGGCTGAGAAAACAAAAAAAAAAGATTTCTTTTGAGCACACACCCTGTGATGGAATGTCAGTTTGATCACTGCATTTCAATACTATATGCAACCAAAGGGAAATGAATTATGCAACATATTAAAATGAATAAAAAGCAAGATAGAATGTTCCCGGAGGGTTCTCATTGCTTTATAAGGCTTAATTACAACTTGTGAAGCATTATGTTAATAATATGTGGCCTGTGTGTGCGTTCCCTGATTAAGAATCCTCCCACACCGCCTTTTGAACTGGTGGAGGTTTGAAAAACAGCAACTCTTAAAACGGCTCTTCACGTTAGAAACTGTTATGGAATATTTGCCCCCAAGGCTTGATCAAACAGCTCGCAGTGAATTATCAAAGTAACAGCTCCTTCATTCAGACGCTGCTTCTCCGAGGGAGGCGTTAGTTATTATGAGGAGAGTGGCCTCTTCAAACGAAAGCTTTCGAAAGATATAGCAAGAACGCCATGGGTGTTCATCTCAAAGGGAAATGAGCGAAATGCAAAGGTTTGTGTTTACATTGAAAAGCACATTTTAATCTGGAGAGGACTCAAGGTCTTTCATAAATATTTGCTAGTGCTTACTGCACTGTTAAAATGGTACTTGCCGGTCCCTTGTCCCTTGTAAGAGTCCCTTTGGTGCCATCAACATGTTAAATCCCAGACAGAGATCATTCACGGACATTCAGACGTGGTTCAGCTGTGTCTGCTGCCTAGCTTAACTTCTGTCAATGAGCGTTATGTAAAACACGTCTGACTTCCTCCGGCTGGCCACACTCGAGCACTTTCCATGAACCCCATTGAAGCTCCGATTGTTTACAAGCATTAAGAAAAGCTCGAGTTTCAACCCGTCCGTGGTCATCTTTCAAACCATTGTTCCTCTCTTTGTCCATCATTGTACGCTATAAATAAAATACAAACAATTCAGCACAGACTGAAGTTCAATGGTCGGGTTTGTTTTACAGAGTAGCCTCCTGCTATTTTAATTCGAATAATGCAGCCATCACAGGCGTTGGCTTGGAGCCATCCTATTACTTTCTCTGTTCAACTTTTATATTATGCGTAGGTCTGTTCCACTATCTAACCATCACACACTATAAAGCGATGATACGCACAACAAAAAGACATCTCAACGAGAAACGTGAGCTGAACCTTCTATAAATAGATAATGAATGCTGAATATTTACCCTCTCCGCTCTTCCCTGTGCATGTAGTGTGACACATCGATGATTCCACCTGCAATTAGGGGTGTGACATGTTGATTGACATCTCTAACAAGACTGGAGGACAGCACTCATTTCCTCAGAATCGTGTCTGTTTCTCAAATGAGCGTACAGGAATTTCCGAATAACACATTGCGTGTGGATTTACAAACAGTTCTCCTTTTTAGCGGTGCGGAATTTGTGCAGAGGCTAAAGTTGAATACTCATGATATTATTTGAGCAGCTAACAGTGCTAATAATTGTTTTATTTTGTGATTTGAGACTCTGCTTAACCGAGGACTAAAGGAGTTAGAATTGGGCTTCAACAAGGTTGCTACTTAGCACTGGTGCCAGTTTAAAGACAACCTTTGAAGCAAATGAAAAAAGTTAGCTTCATATTTTTTCAAGTTTTCTCTCCTGCCTTAAACTTGCAGCTTGTTTTGGATGTTAGTCCATATTGAATGGTCATTATCAGTTCTCACCATTACCATACATAGTGCGTGTGAAGTTAAAACTTCTTTGCAGCAATGTTGAGCCAATCATGAAATGAGTGAAACTGGATTCGCCTGTCAATACACTGATATTTATTGAGAGCCTCAGCGGCCGGAGAGTTCACAGCATATCACAGTTCTCCTGTAAGATACCAGCAAACCCTGCCCCAAAAGCGCCCAGCACCCATCTATACAAAGAGAAGAGGAGGGCCCTAAAACACGCGGGTTTTCCTTTAATGCATGCCAGATGTCGAGACAAAGACTCGTTGCATTGTAACCCCACATGAGCCAAGCTTCTCCCCCACAAGACATCAGATGACCTCTTGACCTGTGTCTTCCTGAGAAGCTATGGATCACATTACAGGCAGGAATACACTTTAACCATTAAACAGATTCCCGAGGACAAATCACTAAACTCTATATACTTTAACAAGACCAAAATATTCCTTTACAGTGCGATTATTATTGTACTTCATACAAGTGACAAAATAATTATTTGTATTATAATTATTACTATTAATATTACCACTATTGCACAGAGAATATTTGTTCCCCTGTTTCAGCATCATGATCCTGAGACCTGAAACTAATTAGTCATTTCACGACCCTGTTGTAATCAGTGTGAATATAAAACAAATGAGCTGAAGGTTCTTGCCTTTCTCACTTGGATAAAAGTATTTTCTGGAACAATGACTTACACGACTTGCAGTGAGGGCACGGTGAACTCTGACAGTTCTCTTATCGCAAACTCATTTGAGATGATTATAATATGTACACCGTCGCACCATGGAGTGAGACTAAAGAAAGCACTGTTGGAGGTGGGATGAGAAACTAAGAGATCAGACAGATAAAAAGAGGCAGGAATACATGTGTGTGTGTGTGTGTGTGTGTGTGTGTGTGTGTGTGTGTGTGTGTTGGACTTGCCCTGGAATCACACTGAGAGTCACACATTGTAATAAGTGTCGCAAAGGTTAATGTAGTGCCTCCTCCGGCAACCCCGCAAGACCTCTAATAGAGATGGGAAATGAAATAACTCTTAGACACACATTTAGATCTGGATTACATTGAGAAGATGGTGTACTACACACACACACACACACACACACACACACACACACACACACACACACACACACACACCACCACCAACACAACACACACACACACACACACACACACACACACACACAACACACACACACAACCACACACACACAC